GCTGTTGTGTGGTTACATTCTGCAGGTGGCTGAAACTGAAGTACAGAGGTATCATTTTACTAACTATTATCCATTTCACAGAGAGGTTGTGAGGTCTGACTTTTGGGCCTGATGGAGAATTAGTGAAATCACCCAGCTCAAGTAACTTCAGGCCTGCAAACTGGAGAGCAAAAGAAGAGACCTCACCTTCAGAAAGCACTGGTAATGCATCAGCTATTAACCATCCTCAAAATTCCCACCCATACATTGGCAACCTTAACTGTAAGCGGAGCCCTGTGAAGAAAACACTGTAAATCCTTCCAAATCAAGGATCTTAATGCTAGTGCTAAAGCAAGGCCTTATGGATCTTTTTCAGTAGAGAATGCTGCATCAGGTTCGCACAGCCACAACTCTCCTCCCTCAAGATGGGCGCTGACAAACTGCAAGGAGCTTGTGCTCTGCAGCATGCTTGGAGATCCTCTTGTACCAAGCATAAAATACACTGGTGCTAACTTACAGTGGTGCTGTTACTAAGTTTTAAACAGTAAAAGTCAGATGAAAGCTTAGCCTTAAAAGTAAGTAATAATTCGTAGCAAGTGTCAATGTATAAGATTTATGTATTTTAACATGACTTGCTATCATTAAAGAATCCAAACACCAATATTTCATAGAATGACAGAAGCAGAAAACAAGGGCTTGTTCAAACCACGTTAAAGCAGTCACTTCAGCCCTAACACCCGTAGCACAGCTGGTGAACAAAAAGAGTGCCGCTTATAGAGTTTATTTAATTCAACAATCCCTGGAAGACTTACATTTGCTCTGTATTTCTTTTTAATATAGCCTAAAAGAATCCAAGTGGACAAAATTCACTGGATGACTTTGGTGGATAAAGCAAGTTTTTCACTGCGATAGTACCATTCTGTAAGCAAATGCTGGAATAACGGAAAACAGTCTCTCAGTCAGCACATTTCCTTTAAGAGTTCAGAATTCACAATAAGGCAAAACCAAACAAAAATGAGTATACAGCCTGAAGATAAAAAAAAAAAAATGGATGTGCAACTTTATCTAAGGGGCTAGCTATACTTGCAATATGCTGCATTTCTTCCAGAGATCAAGAGCAGGACTTCAGCACATCGTTTATCTTTGTTCCTTGTTTTGACCATGTGCAAATTTCTGCCAGAAGCTAATTCCCTGATTCCTGTGAACTCAATTCCAGTCTCTGCATCTGAATCAAACTTTGCTGCACTGGCATTTCACATTAGGAAGGAGTTTCACAAATCAAATGAAAACCTACATTTCCTTCCGTGAATAAATCCCAAAGATCTTAGGACTTATCGGCACCAAGAGGTGTCCTGTTGGAGTAGCTACATTAATGCAAGCCCCAACATTAGATGCATCAGATGGGTTGTAAAGAGCTTCTGATGAAACAGGTGTGCCATAACTGCACTGGTAAGTTTGTACTAATGCACATCTGTCTTGCCTATTAGCATAAAAACCCCTCCTGCAATCACACTGGGCATGTCCACATGTTCCACTATTACTCGTGGTTTTGCAGTAGGCTATCAAAATAACATGGAATATTTCTGAGATGCATTTTGAAAGTACAATTTGTTGCACTTGTGTTATGGGGGGATTGTCTACTTAATCTTTGACATGTAAGCAGCTACTTTTTATCATATGCTAATAACACCTATATTAGAAAAATGATCCACCCTTGACCAAGATTGTTGGCAACGGGTACTGCTCTTTCCCCTGCAACTAATGCTAAAAAATAATTTATTGCTGACAATGGAAAACATTCTGGTACAGTCAATGACTTCTCTGAAAACACGACAAAGACCAGAGGGACCTATATAGAGGATATATTTGCCAAAATAACACAGAATCATCTACATTTGAAATGGATTAGAATGGATTCAAGACAGACTCTGCATTAAAAGAAGGCGCAGAAACTCCATTATTTGGAGCACACTAACAGTAGGATGCAGAAAAAGGCTGACTGACATCATTCACCCCCCCACTCTCTCTCCTTCTAGAACCCATCTCCTCATCTTACCACGTAAAACAAGCAATTCTCCCTATGAACTACTCTCCCCCTGAAACCGAACCCTCCTCCTACCAGCAGGATTCAGTTTTTGATGACTCCTTTCATTTTTTCCCTTAAGCACCTAACAGCATTATCTTCTTCTGTGATCTCAACCCAAAAAGAAAGTACTTATAAACAAACACCATCCAATTAAATTAATTTCAATTTTTACAGCTCCGTTACAATGCAAAAACCCCTGACCCATGCAAAAGTTAGGTACGACTAAACCAACATAATGCAATTACCACAACCTACTCCAATAAGGATTTTAGAATCAGAGCAGAAACAAATCCAGTGTTGCACCCATAAATTTGTGAAAAGGCTTTAAGAAAAGACTCTTTTAAAATTATTACACTCTCGGTAGTTAAGTGACATTCCTGAGATGAGGAGATGCAAAAAGCCATTAAGTAGCAACTCATAATCAAAATAATGTTTGCAGATTAAATTTAGAAAATGACAAAGCACTACAAGAAGAAAGAGGAACCGTACTTCAAATGGGCTTCAGCGCTTTCAAACTTTTAAAGCTCAATAGCAAGTAGGTTTTAAGAGAACAAAGAAATCTAATGCTACCTATTCAAATCCATCAAAAACACAACAAGAGGCCCCAGTCCCAGCCAAACCATGTGTCTAGGATGATTTTGAGAGTCTACATGAATTATCACCTTTCTGGGGTTTTTTTTGAGTGCTGTTTTCTCTCTTCTGTCTTATTTTGTTCTTTGGAGTCACAATTTTTAATTCTCCTCTAAGGCAGCTTAAACCTAAAAAATAAAAGTAGAACTGAGCCACACAATGACATAAAAGAGAGAAATGGAGAACAAAAATGGTTAATACCAAAGCAATAGCAGGTCGAAATAGGAAGAGCCTTCAAAAATTAGGAAGGAAAGGGTTATTTACCTAAATCGGGATCTCAACTCGAAAAGAAGGGCGCGCTCTCAGGATAGGAAAGAGTTGGAGGGACAATAACGGCAGGAGGCAGGACCGCTACCCTGTCAAGCCAGCTCCTCCAGGGAACTGAAGTAAAAGATAAGTACTAAAGAATGGGACAGGAAGTAACCCAGAAAGCAGAGCTGCTGGGAAATTAAAATCACTCCCTTGCAGGAGTTCATGCTTCAGGAACCGTCAAGCGCACACAAAACCTGGCGGGAGGCTTCAGGAACCGTCAAGCGCACACAAAAAGAGAAAAGCCGACCAAGCCCCGGCTCAGAGCAGAGCTGGGGAAATTAAAATCACTCCCTTGCAGGAGTTCATGCTTCAGGAACCGTCAAGCGCACACACAAAGAGAAAAGCCGACCAAGCCCCGGCTCAGAGTTTCAAGGCCCGGCGGCGGGGAAGGCGAGCCAGGGCGCC